TCCCATGTCCACATATCAGCTCCTGAAGGTTAGGGATCCCAATGGAGTGAAACGGCTGCATCACTGTGTGGATCGGATGTGCTTCCATCCCGTGGGGAACAAGAAAGCATTCATAGTGGAGCAAAGAAACTTCCACCGTGAGACAACGCTGAGTAGGGCGGCCAAGGTCACACCTGTAGGATGCTATAGGAAAAGGTGATGGAGCAAGCTCTTTGCTTCAGGAAGAAGGAAAGGAATAAGCTACAAGAGCAAAGACATGCTGCTTCCACTGGGCCGGGACATTCAAACGTATGGAGGAAGGGTAATTAATTTCCACAGTAGAGCTCAGAGAGTTTACAATAAACTCTGAGATGGGCAGAAATAAAAGCTTGTCCTGAATTCTCCCATTCTGAATGAAGGTAGCATTGAGCATAGTATCTGAAAGAGCACTGATGGAAACGAGCACTGCCGTGTGTTTTTCTGGCCGAGGAAATGGTGCGCAGTACGTCAGGGCTTGGCGCATGGCGGAAGGTCAGAGCCAATTCTGAGAACCCAGTAACAATAGAGTCATCGTGGACACAGGTGCTTCCGGGATTGATCTTGCAATTTGGCTGCTTCCAATTAAATGTGAAGCAGATGTGGCCCTTTATCTGCTCAAGTCACTGGAATCCATCTGAGGGGAAACTTTCTCCCATCTCCTCCCCTCTCCCCACCCCAAGCATGCAGCCCTGCTTTCTGAAGACAGAGATGGGCAGGGACAGCCAACTGGCAGAGGCCCCACCAAAAAAAAAGTTGCCTTTCTTATCTCAGGGCAAAGCAATGAGATACTGATTCAGCCATTCATTTTCCAATGCCTTTATTTGGGGACAAGGAGGACAGCCAGCAAAATAAGCAGCAAATACGAATACTGTTGAAGATTGTCAGGCAAACAGATTCGGGTCACTTTCCCTCAGGCAACAAAATAAACAAATGAAGTCAATGTGAGGATAAGTTCGCCAGTGTTTATGGCATTGTTCTGTATACAGACTACAACAGGGTTTCTTTTACAGACAGGGACTGAGCTTTAAAGAAGGTATTTTCAATAGTCAGCTCGGGAAGGTCAACACTGGGCCACCAGGCAGATCAACAGGAGCTACGGGATTTCAGAAATCCAGTTGGTGAGAGCTCCCAAATAGCTCCACACCAGTTAAATGTACTTCATATGAACTTTTCTTTGCCAGCTCATTGATTCTGGAGCCATCAAACCCCTTCATGTCTTGGCTATCTCTTCTAGCCTGCCAAGGTCTCACTTTTCCCCAATACCTTAAGAAAGGGAGAGCTTGGCTCAAATTTGTGCTTGTCACTAGATGGCAGAAATGTGAGACTCTAGGTATTCGTTTTGGTTGCTTAAAGAGCAGCCATTTCACAACCCGTGCTTAGCATTTTGGACATAGGAAGTCAACAATCTTCTGGCTTTACCCAGCCTGCTTGTAACTGAAAGCATCACAGCTTTGGTCTTTGGGCTATTTCACTCTTCCCAAGGCTTTTCTGATACACAGGAACAGGACTAGTTATTTTCTAAAAAGCTATTCTCCTGTCCGTTCTGAAACTGAAATGGATGGCAGAGCTTAAACATCATACCACACTACCCCACCTATTTGGGGTACCACTGCTTCACTGTTATTGAACAATAAAGATCAGATTACTAGTCATTTCAATAATAATAATAATAATAATTATCATACTGTTCTAGGAACAGACATATTAAAGAAAAATGGTATTTGCTTTTTTGGCAAGGCAGCATTGGCAGTAAGTAGGACACAGCACAAGTGTTTTGCTAAAGTTACTTTCATCGTTTCAAATAATAGGACTTCTGACTTACCCTGAGAAAGACTGCTTGACAATAATTTTCAGGACAATCATCAACATTCAGCCAAAACCACCCTCAGTTTCAATACGATCTACCTCCAAAAGTTCCTATGTGCCAGCTCAGACTGCTTCTCTTGGTCCTTCTGGGCACAATCCGACAACAACAACCCTTTTTCGTATTCCCTTGGCCAAAACATAAGCAAGCAGCTGCTTCAGTTTTTTCCAATCGCTGCATTTTTTCCACGTGCTGTCCACCCCCACCAATCTCTGCATTAGAGTCCAGCTGATCTTCCCTGAACACTATCCAGTTTTTCAGTTGTCAGTGCCAGAATGCAATGCAGTGGGCTTGACTTCACCCACAAGAGCCAAGACAAAAACACCTGCATCTCTATAATCCATAAAACAATTTCTGCTTGCAAGAAGCTCAAAATTTGTTGAGCTTTGACTTGTTTATTCTATGTACACATGCCGTAAGTACAGCCACTACCCCAAAACAGTTTCTCTTCTGGACCATTCTAACTGTTTTCAAATGTTTTTCTTTCATCTTTTGAAAAGGAAAGAGAAGAGCAAAAAAAGAAGGGTAGACAAAATGCAAGGTTCCTGAAGACTCTCAATTACAGCAACGTAACCCCAACATCACAACAATTAACTGGCTGTGCCTTCTGAATGTGCTGTCAACTTCTGTCATAACTGCTTGATTAGACTGTCCTTCGCAGCTTGCCCAGAAATCATAAAATACAGATTATTCTAAACAAGAGAGACAAAATGCTTTGCAGCAGCCTCCTCATCTCTAAGGGAGAGCCCCAAGCACTTCTGATGGCTACAGCCCCAGCTGTAGGACAATGAAAACAGAGTCCCTGATGAGCAGGTCTGGGAGTCTCTTTTCTCCTAAAGGCAGCAAGCTGTTTCCTGTGAATATATTTAAATTATCTTTATTTAAACTTTCTATATATACTCTACAGACTATAGTCTATATATAGACTATAGAAACTTTCTATAATCTACTACTGTTTCTGCACCTTGAATAATACGATTTACTGGCAACTCTACATTTCCTGACCACGCCATTTCTTTTTCTGTCTGTTTTCTCATCTAAGACTGGCTGATCTGCCTGGATCCTCAGGCCGTGGGAACAAACACATACATCATTTAATCTGTATGGAGTACAAGCACATGCGCTCTCTCATCTCAATACACAACTCACGCACATCAGTATACCCTTTATTAAAGTTATGTGTGTTCAATGTTCAGGACAGACACCACTGGAATTAGGGTACTAGTTCAGATGAAGGGACCAACCTGCCCAACGCTATGGTCTGGAGCCGGAGACAGAAGCTAGCAAGTGGAGGATAATTCCACTGAGGACATAGACATCGCTCTAGGCAGCAGTCCAAGTCCACTCGCTTTCAAGTACATTTTCCCCAGGGACTCACAATTTTAGGGAAGACGTCATGAATGAGAGACACTGCTGCCAAGGTGGGGAATGCATACGCAGAGGTGTCCCACACTGCAAATAAGTCAACATTAAGCTGCGGCTTTGTTTGAAGTTTCCTGCCCCACGACATTATTTCAAGTCTGTGATGATGTGTATAGACATGTCCCAAGATCATAAAAAGCAGAGACTATTCTTGGATATCTCTCACACCGCTGCATCTTTCTTTCTTCTCAAGGGCTTGCAAACAGCCAATAAATTAATAGTTTAAGAATTTCCAGTTGAAGTATTTTTCATGGAAAGACAATACTTTCAATTAAATTAAAATTGCTGAGGAAAGTGCTGGCTTCCCTGAAATGAAAGTTTCTTTGTCAGAAACCTAGGAATGGCATACCTCCTCTGTTTTGGTATTGTTTGCTTGATTCTTCTGTTTTGCTGTATTTTTATACAGAGACATTTTTTTTAATTTTAGCCAAAATTTCCAGCTCCAGCCAGTTACAGTGTTTAATGCTCTTCCCTGTGCCACGTTGATTTTTCTCCCTCTGCCAAAGTGCTTCTTAAACCTCCTCTGAATGTACGTTCTTCCATGTGTTTGATAGCTTTTTCTTCCTCTTCTCCCCAGGATTGTATAAGACTGTGCTTTTATTGCTCAACATATTCCAAGAAGCATTTAGCATAAATGCTCTGTCAAAGACACTTATGTACAGTTGAGCCATATTATACTCTATATGAATCATCGTGGGTGTTTCACAAACAAGGTTAGATCACCAAGATTTTCCAACTATATTAAACACAGCTTTTTCAGACATGGTCTACTAGCCCTGTGATTAATCCTCCACATTGAAACTCACCTCATATTTGGAACATGTCATGTCTGCCCATCAGGGACAGAAGCATGCTGCTAACACTTCTGCCTAATGAGGATAACAATTCTATGACAGAGAAATCTCAGCCAATTTTTATCTGCATAAGGCAGGGGAAAGGTTAACTTTGCAAAGCTAGATGGTCTCTCACCATTCCTCACAGTTTTCTTGTCTATGGTATCTTTAAGACAGAGACCTCATCTAAATGCTAAGGAAAAACAGAAGTCTGGGGAAAAGAAGGAAGTCTGTTTCACCACTTGAGGACAATTTTGTGCCATATTTTATCTTCTACAAATGAAAATTGCCAAGAGCCTGGTAATCAATGCTTCTTGCCTGCTTTACTTGACCAGATGGATGAAGAAGCTAAGGGAATATTGAATCACTTCTTACCTACCCAACACATGCTCCAAGGTGTATAGCCACATTAAATCTGGTCATTCAGGCAAAACTGAAATCTCACCTGAAGAAGAGCAGCCTGACAAAATGAAGTTGGTGGCAGTCTACTGCCCTGCAACAGAGAAGCAACTAAAACCCCACAGAGAGAAAGAGACAAAACAGCTGTAGGGGAAAATGAGCTGAACGAGATGCTGCTTGAAAACAGAAAAAAACTGTGGCACTTCTGATTTGGTATAGTGAAACACCTGTGATATGAATAATGCCCTCATATGAAAAAAACCCCAGCCATTTTGTGTTTCCAAACCCACACAATGGATGGTTTACAATGCACTTTTTTATCTGGAACTTGAGTGGGAAAGGGAGGTTCCTCAGCCGCTCACCCACCTCCTATACTAATGCAATAATCTTACTTAGTCACAGAAAAAGGGACAGAAAAAAGAAAAGGAGACAAAGTTATTAATAATCTGTGGGCAGCTGCTTACTTTCCAATTGGTTGTCCAGGAGGGGTGTGCTCCACTTCAAATCCTGCTTGTCTCAGAACATCAATCACAGTGTTGTTACCCAGGAAGTGACCTAAAATACAGGTAGAAAACAGCACTGTCAATCAAACTGCTCCTCTCACTCACTTGAGTTTCTCCTGTTGGAACAACAGGTTTGGGAGGCAAGGTTACCAGAAGCTAGACCAGCTTCAAAGGCAAGAACGGCACATTATGTAGTTTGTTGTGATCGAGACTCAGCTATTCACCACGCAGCCCACTGCAGCCTTTGGCAATGGCCAGAGGAAGAGCCGGCGTACAGCCCAACATAGACTTCCTCCTTCAGCTGATTTACCCCTCCCTCCCCTCACATGGCCAAGGGACTGGGTGGATAAAGGAAAGCTGGATGAATTGCTAGTCTTGTCCTCTACTGTGGCTAATTCTGGTATGTGCATGGACTAAATAAACTTGTAACATGGGTATCAGAATGACCCTGCAGTGGCAAAAAGAATATTATTAAGGCTTCGTCTCATGAATTGGAACAACTTACAACCCCAGATGTTCCACCCTGTCCATCGTTGTTCATGGACATCTGCTTATGATGAAGCTCTGAAGCTGCTGTACTGTGCGCTTGGTGCTTATCTACCTAAGCTGGCAGTGATTCAGGAATTGCTTCATCAACTGCTCAGCCACCTGCACAGCAGGGTTGGGAGGAGCTGGGATGGTAACCTTATCTCTCCCCAGACGTGAAGATTTAGTCCTGTAAATCAGGGCTCTTCGCTAGAAGTGTAAAGGTCGCATTCCTATTCACAGAAACAACAAAGAGCCCAATAAGTACTGCAGCATGTATGGGCCTTGAAAGAGTTTACTTATGGGAGTCCTATACACTTGAGGTCTGAACCAAATCTCACTGGAGTCAATGGGAGCCCTCAAAGGGCTTTGGGTACAGACTCAATAAGGCAGTGTAATCCCTCTGAAGCTTTCAACTTATTGTCAGAGTCCCACATTGTTTTTGGGATGGGTTAGAGATATAAAGTAAGGATGCAAGATCTCCACTAACAGGTTTGTTAAAGTCCATGCAGCCCAGTAATCTGTCTCCAACTGTGGCCCATGGTGAATGTTAAAGGAATATAAATATATACATGAATAACACTGGGAAAGGACAGAATGATTACATTATGTCCATTAGCTTCCAGCTCTGCATGGTTGGATGACCCCATTTACACCCAGGTCATCGCGTTTCACTGCCAGCTCTGAATAGACCAATTCACCACAAATGCGCTCAAGCCCCTGCCTCCGCGCACTTCTTGCCCCGTGACATTTTGCAGCAGGGAGTTCCACCACGTGCCGCGTGTGAAAACGCACTCCTCTGGTTTGCTGCTGCTTGGAGAGCGTCTGCTTGCCCTAAGCACAGCATAAATGTTTGCAGGAGATGTCTGTAACTGCCCAGCTCCGTAGCAGAGCCGAATGCTTTGTGTAGAAAAAACAAGGCAGGCAAGACATGCCCGAGTCTCTCTTCATGCACGCCACTGTGTAAGCAGTCACCCCTAGGACACCTCGCCCCTACTGCACAAAGTCGCTGTGAATTTGAGAGTAATTCAGTCCCTAGTGTTCACTCAGCCTGCATCTCTCTACTCACGCTGCCAGCAAGGGCGCTAATTCGCATCAGTTGTGGGAATGATGTAGTCGTACGGCTTTCAGTGCGACTTGCAAGCGCTGGTAACGTCTTTTAGCCAAAAGACATTTCTTTAAATGATTAAACGTCCATTTGCAGAGCCCTAGTGTGTTCCAGGATTCCTCCACTTCCTTTTAAGAAAACTCAAAATTTGATTTTCCCCTAACTTACTTATAACAAAAGCCAAGGAGCAGAGACCAGTCCCAAAAATGTGTTACACACCCTCAGAGATTCAAGAAATGAGACATTTGTGAGTGATTAACTGGATTTGATCATATCCTGGTTTTTTATGCAGTGGCCAAGGCAAACAAAGGTCCCCATTCTGTCACTGGCAAAGAGACACTGAGGAACCAAAGTCAAAGGTGTCAGTCAGAGATGTTTCTGTGGTACAATGCCCTGCTTCTCTGAACTGGACTCATAAATGCCAAGAGATTTCTTACTGTAAACAATTGTCCTGAATCCAGCAAATCTTTGACATCAGAAGAGTATAAAATAAAAAAGTTTTAACTGCTTTA